GTTGCCATATACCGTCCGGAAAATTCCGGACATGTCCGGAATTTAGGGTTAAATTTTGCGTCCGGAAAGAATTTTGACAAATGCTCAAATGTCCGGAATTTTACTGCATCTGCAATCTGCTTTTACTACGGTGCACACTGCTAATACTACGAGGTTGTGTGGAATTATGATGTAACAGAGCGTTCCTTATCAATGATTTTTACCACTTAGAACAGGGGTCGGCAACCTACGGCCCGCGGAGCAATATAATCCGGCCCGCGACGCTTCACTCAATTATAGTAACAAATTATAGCTGTTTTGTCGATTATATTCTTTACGCAAAAGAATTTACGTGTAGACTAAATTATATTATAACGTAACAACCTAACAAGTATATAATTCACAATTACTCGTTTAATGAGCCTATAATTTAATTATAATTTAGACAAATGACGACAAAATGCAGAAAAGTTGATGCTAATGGCAAATGGTTCAATGGCGCAAAAAATATTCAAATGGTCAGTCTTCGCGCGCTGTTCAAAATTTAACTTCTGATCTGTGTGATAAAATGTGATTCATCGGTCATTCATTCGATTTTTAACATTCTAAAAATATGTGCGGCCCGCCAAAGACTTGCAACCGCGAGCGACAAAAGGTTGCCGACCCCTGACTTAGAACTTTCTGATTATTATTCGCTGACTGTTTTACCCGTTTCGTTGAGCAGCTGCAAGTGTATTTGATAACAGCTAGTTCCTTGTTAAGTTTAGCTGAATACAGAAGTTTTATACCACAAAGTTTTACTTGTGGATTTTTCTATTTGAATAGGAAGCAAGTCAGGAATTCGGGATCGAAAGTGCTAGTCCCTGAAGCTTTTTGGTTCAGTTAGTCTGGTGGTAAATTAGGCTACTTTGTTTTTTGAAGTATGCATTTTTAGTTGGGTTGTATTTATTGTTAATAAAAAAATATATTATTTCAAATGGCTAATTTTAAACGAAAGTACACATTCACTAACGAGATGCGAGAAAAACATCAATGTTTTAGAAAAGGCAGGAATGATTATGAAGCAGAACGCTTGGTTTGCGAATCAGGAACCTATATGTCTGTCGTGCACAACGGTAATGGTGATTTAAACACACATCTGCAATCAGAAAAACATTGCAAAGCAGTAAGAGGGGCTGTTGCATCAACGAAAATGACAAATTATTTTGTTACAGCGGGAAGTAAATGCGAAGATGAAATCACTGCCGCAGAAGGCACTCTTGCATTTCACGCTTTTAATCATCATCATAGCTTTTTGTCCATGGACTGTACATCTGTTTTACTTAAAAATATTCTCCCTGATTCTAATGTAGCGAAGAAGTTTAGTAGTGGCCGCACAATGACAGAAAAAGTTGTTACTAGCGTACTTGCGCAATATTCTATTGGTGCTGTTCTGAAAAGTTTTGAAGAAAACAATATCGCGTATTTTGGCGTTCCAACAGATGGCAGCAATCACAATGAACTGAAATTATTTCCTACAATTATTCAATATTTTGACTGGGGGAAAGGTGGTTTGCAATCAAAATTGATTGAGTTTACAAACAAGGCAAACGCGACTGCCGACACAATCTCCACTTATGTAAAAGACACTTTAGAAAAAATGATGTTTTTGAAAAATGTGTGGCATTCACAGGAGACAACTGTAAATGATTCCTATTGAAGAGAATTAGATCTCCAGAAAAATATGCATGGTCAAGAGAGTAAATTTGTAGTGACTTGACTTACAAGCGTGTCTGTAATTTGTTTTAAGCTGTAATCACTGTTCTTACTTTTCGGCACAACCTAATTCTCAATATTATTTTCCACTCTGAACTTGAGCTTCATATAGAGCAGTGGTCGGCAAACCTAATGTACTTGCGGGCCAAATATACACATTTCCGGTAGCGCACGGGCGCAATAATTCCGTTTTCGAACAATCATTACATTAAACTTCCAATTATGGCGCATTCGCACCTTCTATTGCTGTGTAAAAAGCCTGCTACAATGAGATGTGTATGTGGCGTTTTTTCAATATATTATCTAACAATACATTGTTTTTATTTACCTATTATCAATGTGAAGCAGTGGCGGCGCGTCAATAGGGCCAACCGGGGCAATGCCCCAGTTGTTTTTTTGGTATAATAAAAAATATTCGAAAAATACCTCAATATCGGTTGCACAGACTGTCTACACTAGCCATATTCTCCCGACATGGTTCATTTTTCGCTCGCAAAGCCTTCGCCGAACGTCGACGGGGCGACGCCGATTTTGCCCCGGTTGCTCATTGTATATCGTATTCTCTCTTTTATCTTCCACTCGCCGCGTTTGTCTCGTTTGTTTTCTGTTTCTTTTACCAAATCATCGGGGCCGATCGGGGCTAGCCCCGAAATTATGACGACACAATGCCGACGTTTCTTACAACAACGTGTTGACATATTCACGCATTCCTTCTCGTTCGTTGGTTGCTTGAAGAGTTGATAGTTTCCTCGCCTTCGTTTTTGTCGCTTGTTTCGCTATTTGAATCAGTTAGAGACCGTTAGTCCATTTGCTTTCTATTTTCCACATTCCTTTTGAGCTCCTCACTTCTTTCCGGCTTCGCATTTCCTAGCCTTAGACCTCATAATGAATAAGGTTGATGCACTACTTCGCACTCCGTTTTCGCAGCTGCCGCTGGAACAAAAATTAGAGGTACAACGTCTTGGGCCTTATCAACCAAAAAATTGTTCACTGGAACAATCCCATGACGGAGGAAAGCGTCGGCGTACATTCTGCGCAGAAACTTGGTATAAAAAACACGAATGGTTGTGTTACAGCAAGGACAAAAATGCACTTTTTTGTTTTTATTGTCTACTTTTTGCTACCGCCCGTGACTCACGTTGGTGTAAATTTGGTTTTAGAGATCTTAAACATCTTTCCGAGCGTGCCAAGGATCATCAATCTTCTATGGAGCATCTGGACAATGCAGTAAAATACCGAACATTCGGAAATGTTAATATTGCAGCACAGTTGGATGAAGGACGCGCGGTTTCTATTCGTCGGCACAACCAAAACGTCGAGAAAAACCGCCATGTTCTCGGTCGATTGATAGATGTTTTGAAGTTCATTGGTTGTCACGAGCTGTCCCTCCGTGGGCACGATGAACGGGCTGGCTCTTCTAATAGAGGGGTATTTTTGGATATGGTGGAATACACCGCATCCCTAGATACAGTATTGAGAGATCATCTTGATGCCGCAACTGTTTCGAAAGGGACATATGGGACGTGATAAACGTGGGTAAATTGGAAAATGAATTGCGATGTATATACACCAATCAAACTTTTTTGAACATCACATCAACTTGCGCGCTCTATGGGTTCCTCATAGATAACACTCTAGTAACTACCTTTGCGGCGTCTGCAAAATTTCCGGACATCATTTTGACGACGCCTAATTCCTCCGCCGACGCAGAGCGAACATTCAGCACGCTGAAGCGTATTAAAACGTATCTCAGAAACACAATGAAGCAAGATAGATTAAATTCCTTGGCTGTTTTATCCATTCACAGAGACGTTATTTCTGGGATGCATGACTTTAATCAGCGCGTTATTGAGCATTTTGCTTCTAAGAAACCGCGGCGTGTTGCATATATGTTCAAGCAGTAGAAGTGTAGCAGCATATATATCTATGAGTGAGCGACGCATGTCCTTATCTTTGCATTAACTTTCCTTTCTTCATAGTAACGTTTTAAACGTTATTTTAGGTTTTGTCTGCTTTCCCGAAGTTTCTGTTAATATGTCATTGTATTTATCTGGGTAAATATTGCCTTTCCTTTTGAAAGAGGTTTCAAAATAAACTATGTCTATATTTATTAATCCCTTGACTTGGACCGGTTTTAAAGACACTTTCTTACCGTTAAAAATTGTCGCTTTTGCCGATTGGTTGTTACCGATGGAATGGTTTTTATACTCATAAAATGATGGGAGAACTTACAGCGCTCATCCTGTCCCCGTAGATGGGGGTGACTTGGTCCCGCAGTAGCTTGCCCCGGTTGTCAAAATGACCACGCGCCGCCACTGATGTGAAGGATGATGTTTTTATGGCAACTTGCCCGCGGTACGTCGTCCAAATGACGAGTATAAAATTTATTGTAAGTGTAATGCATTTTAGATTAAGCTGCTGACAGCAATATGAGCTTCCGAACGTGCAGATTACACGTTTTGCACTGTCGCACAAATGAGCTGTGGCTCAGTCTCGGGTATCGGGGTCGAATTTTCGATGAGACGTCTGGTAACGAGTTCAACATTAAATACCTTCAATATTAGCGATGCTGACCGGACATATGGAGCTGGCTTTGGAATGCGCGAGAAAAAAAAATATTTTGCGTCCAAGCACCTTGGAATGTTCGACCCTCGTCGCGAACTTCTCCCGTTTCCAAGACAATTTTAATATCAAAATTAACTCGAACGGCATAGAACTGACGCTACTCATTACAAAACAAGCGTCGTACAGCAGCACTTGTTATCACATAAATCTGTGTGTGGACAATAATAAATTTAGGATCAATTTTTGTGTATATATGTATTAAATGTCGTTCGAGGGCCGCAATAAATTAGCTCGCCGGCCGCATTCGGCCCGCAGTTTGCCGACCCCCGACTTAGAGCTATATTTAGAGAGTGCTCCGTCTGGTGTGAGATTCTGCTTGTGACCGAAGACAATACTTTTCATTTCGGTAGCTGGCGCTTTAGCATGAGTATCGTACAGCTTTTGCAGCCTTAGCATTTCGGTAGCGCATATATATGGTCTCATGAAAATACGGAGCTCCTGAAATATTTGCACCAAGATGGCGCACAACCTATAGGCGCACAACCTGAACATCGTATAGGTTGTGCGCCATCTTGGTGCACATACTTCGGGAGCGCCGAAAATACTCATGCTCTGTCCGGAATTTTGCTTTTTCAAATATGGTAACCCTAATCTTGATGCATTATTTTAAACGATTCGGGAAGGTTTTCCCTCGAAGTATGCTTTGAGTTGTATTTGAGGTTACGTCATGTCGAAAACAATGGGCGGTGACGAATTGCCGTGTCGTTAGAAAATCGTAGTAAGATCACGTGTCGAGTGTCCGATAGTAACCTCATTCAAATACCACATCGCAGCGTTGTTATTGACGTGGACTTTTCGAATAGCATTATGTTATTCTTAGTTACGGTACGGTAACTCTTGAAATCGAAAGAACTACAGGCAATCGACAATTTGAAAGCGTAGGACAATTCTGAACTCTTAAAATAAATTATACGAACCTACTTAGTAGAAAGGCCGATTAGACACGATACCAGAATATACAAAATACTGCAACAGAAGCCATCCACAAAACTGAATTTACGTATCGACTCGTCTTCCTGCTGGAGGAGATGAAATATATTACATGGACAGTGCTTCTTTATGTGATTTTATCATTCAGTGCTGAAATTGGAGAGGGATTCACTCAGTGGCTGTCTGATATCAGCTCCTGTACGTATTTTTGAGCTTGTTTTAGCTATCTGGTGGCTGGTGGGCAGGCACATGAGATACTTCATGTTTTAAACTTTTTGTAGGTTTTGCTTGCCCTCCAGAATTCTCCATTTTAAATTTAGGTTTGTTATGGAGTTTTCGAAATAAACTATCTATCTATCTATCTGCAGATTTGTGATGCTCATCGTTATTGCTGTATTGATATTATAATTTGGATATTTATTGGGGGAGAGGAACAGCACTAGTCTAATAGTTACATATCTTGTTTCATCATTATCGTACAATTATAAGATTTCACCATGAATCTATTCTATATTTTTATGACATAAACCAAATATTTATTATTTAAAAGGAGATAGTTGTTATCTGGTTAATGGGTTTATAATGCCTCGATTGTAGATGGTAATAATGAAAAAATGTATGGACTTTGACATCAAGTATTTAACATTTTAATTTCTTAAACAGCAATAACGAGCGCCCACAGAAGATCAAAAAGGAGTTTGTTTGAATTTGAAGATGTCATTACATGTTTACAACCATGGACAGACGTATTAAAAACATATGCGGATTATGGATGTTATTGTGGATATCGGGGAAGTGGACAACCGTTAGATGATACTGACAAGTGAGGGGCAATACCTAATTGTTTGTATGTTAATAAAGCAGAGAATGACCATTACGGTATGTTCTACTCCTGTTTCAATAGGATTGTGATATGTTTGGCATCTGTTTCAATTATATTGTGATTCAAGTAATCTGGTATATCATTAATTTGACAAGATATCCCTACCCTTTATATGTATATATACACACACAGTTCAATTCATAATAAGTCGCTGTAACTGGTTGATGAATCATAGTATTACACTCTTGTTATAGCATAAGCAGTTCGAAGATGTAGCGGAAAAAAAAGGATCTATCTCATTACTTAATACGCCTACATAAATTTGTTCATGAAGGAAATGATATGAAAATGTCGGATCATGCCTTAATGCCATAAGCTTCTCATCAGTGATTCATACTGAATGATGAGTTCTAACAACCTGTAATTATCACTTTTCTTTTTGCCCCAACTTATCACTGCTATTGAAAAATACAGGAGGAATATATTTTCATGTCTTATGAAATACTGTTTTAAGATGCTGCTTTTACCATGACAAATGCTACGGCAAAGCTGAGAAGTATGCTGCCAGTTTTTCAGAAAAAGCCTATGGAGCATATTTTTCAAGATATCAATTTCAATGTGTAAATAATTCCAAAATTATATGCAGTAAGTATGTAGATTGTTTTCTCTGTGGTATAGTTTAACTAATGCTACCTTCAAGCTGCATTATTATTGGAATGATACTATTCATAAATAACATTTTACTTTTATGCTATTGTTCACAATTGATCAGAAATCTGTATTGTGAAGATGATGAATGTCAAGTCAATGATTTTGTATATCCTGGTGACCTATTTATTATCAGTTACAAACGGTTCAGCTTCAAAGTATGTAAATAATTCTTCTTTTACAGAAAAAGAAGAAAATACAGAATACTCGAATGCATTTTGCGAATGCGATCGTTTAGCATCAGAATGCTTCTTACGAGCAAGACGGTCGTACACTAAAGCACTATACAATATTCAAACTTCAAAATACTGTATGTATATTAAAACAGTACTTTTTATAGGCTACTAATCAAATATAATAAAATGATTCACCCAAAATTTTCAAATTTAGTGATTTCCTGTCTTTTCTGAATTAATGATGAAATTAGCATTAAATTTGGTATGCAATTGTGTTGATGGCATGGAAATTCATATTTCAAGTAGACAATTTTAAAGTTTTGTAAAGTTCCTTTTGTGAAATGTGTTGGTGAGTTGATTAAAATTTGTTAAACAATGATTTATATCACAGGCACTGCTAATCCAGATTTGAGAGATTTACAAATTCAAAAACACACATGTGAGTTTTGTGCATTATTTTGCAATCTTTTCCAATAATTTTGTAATATACATTATTTGTTGCTTTTTATTATTTCAGTGGACAAATTATATTCTTGCCACATGAAGTTGCATGATGACAAATGTTGCTCAGATGTTGGCTATAACTCAGAGTACGAAATATGCTGCCATGGTAAAGTAAGGTAAGTGTTGAAAGATGTCAAGCCTCTATGAGTTCCTGTGTCTAGACAATCCTACATTCTTGGGTTTCTTAATTGAGTGTGGAAGTATGAGGGTTTAGCTAGGGTTAGGGTTAATACAATATTACATCAATTTTAAACAATCAAATTATATCGAAAGATATCGTGATCATCACTCGAGCAGATAGAGTAGATACATCAAGCAAAACTATATTATATAATGAAGATGCATAATGAACTGATGTCTTGATCTTAACACCCAAGCATTTTGATTTCACAGGAAAAGATTACCCAATCAGGAATGTTCAGAACATGAAGACTTATAAATTATTATCAATTGCAAGTTCAAACTTATTGTTGTTCCTATATATTATATTAATCGATATATTATCTTCGTTCGCTCTTATTGTATTATTGTATGCTATTGCTAATTGACAACATTGCATTCATGACATGTCAAGAATCGGTGTGCAAATTAAATTATGATCTGTTTTTGATCGTTTTGCTGTAATTTTGTAACCACTGTTCAAATGCCTCAATGTACAGTGCATTATTATATATATTAATTTCTGCCTTGTTATTTTTTGATGATGCTTATAGACAACTGATTCTGGTGTTGTGATACTTGTAGTAATATGTAAATTGGGGGAATTCTGGCAGTTTCAACTTAGATTGACTAGATGAATAAGCAAACGATTAAGGGCCGATGCCTCGTTTTACACGAACATCCTTGCCGGATTCAGACATATGGTATCCTACTTGGTTATGTTTTTCAATTGCAAAAATCCACTGCTTGTTGATTGATCAGCCAACTGCTACCTATTTTTAATTTTTGTATAAATTTTGACCGTCTTGCCTGTTCCGTTGCAAATACCTGCATAATTTTGTTGCTGTGGTACTCCTTAAGTTTGTTCCACCAAAGAAATTTGTAATTAATATTTAAAACCCCGATTTGACGATTTTTTTTGTGGAGGGTAATAGTATGATTTAATCGAAAATTATTGTTAGAATTCTAATTTATGCTTGTCTGAAATTATTGGCTAGATTTTAACGTCCATTTTTATTGAAAATTGAGATTAATTTCTACTGTATGTCCCATCTTGTTGTCCTATTCACTACGTACCAGGCATGCATAGCCAATTTGTCCCATACATCATTGTTATCGAATATTAATTAAATTGAATATCTGAACATTTCGTTTGATCGGGGGTTGTTTGAACAGTCTTTTAGGTCAGTGGTTGCCAACCTTGCTACCCTGCGCACCGGCAACAAGAATAAAACGAGATAGCGATCAGAGACCGCCGACTCATCGATCTAGCGGCGTTTATCCTTCGCTTTGACTCAATAGCGACACCGCGTGCCCCATCACTAATTAATTAATAACTCGCTAATTATACGACATAATTGGTCCAAAATCAATGGGCTTCTGGTCCGAGATAAGATGAATGCACATGCAAAATGTGGAGCAGATTCACGATATCTCGCTTTCGTGAGATATTGTATCATCTAACAGACAAAAACCTATCAACATACTTACGATCAAGATCGATAAATAATTCGCGGACCGACATCGAAATGAAGCGGAGAATAATAACCGGTGCTGCAGTAACATACTTCAATGTGTTGGTACGGTCTCGAAATAATAGTTTTTTTCAAATTAAAGTCAATTAGACTCGGATATACACTCCGGAATGTGGTAAGCATTGCCACAATTACAAAAATATTTGAATGCATGTGATTTTGACGTTTCACCAGAATGTGTAGGCAAAATCATATCAAGTTGATTGAATTTCGGGCAAAATTATTAATATTTGTTGTAAAAAGGGTTTACGCCAGATTCTTTGAATTAGGACAAAACAAGTTGATCATCGATACTAATCCATCTTACTAACTAATATTAGCTGTTGTGCGTCAATCGCGCTGCAGGCCATTACCAGGGGACAAAACATGTCGTTTTGATCGGACAATCAAGATTGAGTCTCCTGTCGTGCTTGATAGTACATTAACTTAGAGAACCAGTGGAAACTCTACCTACGAAATTAATTCGTACCGGAAGCCTCTCCGTAAGTGGGGACGCATTATTCCTACAAATGCAAAATCCGTTCCAAGCTGCCACAAAACTCGGACATAATATTTGTATAAATTATAATAATGATTAAAACCCGTAACAAATACATGTCAGAATTAGATTACCACATAATGAATAGAAAATGTTTAGAGGGGGAAAAAAGATCAGAGAAATAACGAATAAAAGCTAGGAACGGTGTGTTTGTTTACCTTTGGCGTTGGATGACTAGGCTTGCGCAAGCGAAGACCGCGGATTGTGGGAGGACGGCGGTCGTGGGAGGTGAGAGAGGGCGTTCGAAGTTGACAGCTGAGAAAGAACGTAATGTACGAAAACAACGTATACAATGTTATTACTCGATCATCTTCTTAAAACAAATGAGTGAACCCGACTCCCATCCGCCAATAATGGAGAATTAAGACCGTTCGAGTAGCGCCGATCTAATGATTTCATGTCGGCTGTTATGATTTTATGTTTGGTTATAAATTAATTCAAACAACTTAAACTGAACAATATTGTCATTAACGACGTCGGGATAACGATAAAATCCGCGATTGATACTAAACAATATTAAAGAGCTACTTTATACGTCCCAAATTGCAAGAAATGAAAGAATTTATCGTTCTGTTGGGTCACTATCAAAACTTAGGTTGGAAACAATTAATTACGACACAATTTGCTTTTAGATTTATTGCCGAGGTCGCACAAACTATCTCGACTAAATTAAATGTACGATAATAATTGTAGAATATTTTCAATCAAAAATATCCTGGACGTGTTATAAGCCCTTCAAGCCCGGCGCTAATTGAAACCCTTTATGTCGGCTATAATTTATTGCCGTGCTGCGCAAGTCTGCGTTTGATTACGATAAAATGAAATAATTGTGAAATGTTTTAAATCAAAACGCGGACGGCGCTAGTATTTGTGCGTCATATTTGTTATTCATATAAACATAGGCTTACCATACGTCCCGGTTTAGCCGGGACAGTCCCGGTTTTGACGAGCTGTCCCGGCCGGTCGACTCAAATGTCCCGGTTTGTCAGCACGGCTGTCATGGGTGAAAAATTCATATTCCTTATTGTTACAATTTTTTAACGGTGGCAGCCCATTTACCACTGTTTTGCGACACACTTCGCTAATTCAGAAAGTAAAAAATTGCTCTATTGTTATGTCACAATCGGTATATGTTTTAATGCGTTTTCTGGCGTTAACTACAATGCCGTTAAGTCGTCGAAATGCCATAAAAAAAGTACAAATTTTCTAATGAGTTGGAAGGAGATTTTCCTTATTTTGCGCAAACTGAAGGAGGAAAGGTACACTGTACGCATTGCAGATCTGTTTTTCTATTAGTCAAGAATAAGATGGTCGTTCTGATGTCAACGATCTTATCCAAAGCAGGAAGCACAAAACATTAATTGAGGCATCGACTCGACTGACCAATTTTTTGCGATAACAAATTCGGATGATTGTTTGTCGTTGGCAGCCGACATTTGCTTATCACACAAAGTTTTGACTGCACCTCTGAATTAATTTTAATTTTTTTAGCCTAAATTTGCATTAACTTGTAAATATACACAGTTAGAATTTCTGATGTCCGCTGTCTGATAAGCGGATTCGCTGATTTTGCACGTTTAGCCAGAAATAAATGAGAGTCGGTGATTTTTAATTGAATTGCTCCGCTGTTCTCCTCTGAACCTAATGATGATTTACTTTAAACCAGTTTCGTATCAGTAACCTTCGATGCATCAAACAGAAAGAATTTAAAGCTTGTTCCAGTTGTGGTTCGTTATTTTTTCACCTGATGTTGGTATGAAGATAAAACTATTAGAATTTAAATCTTTACCCAGTGAAACCGCCAAAACTTTTACTGAATACTTGCTCTCTTTTCTCGGAAAAGTTGTTGGATTCTGTGCGGATAATTGCAACATCAACTTTGGAGGCGTAAAAAGACGAAAAACAAATAATGCCTTTTTTCAAACTAAAAGAAATATAACCGGTATAGATTGTGCGTACCATGTAGTTCAACTGTGCACTGCGATGCCATTTTCAACATGTCGTAGATACTTTGCCTGTTTGTGTTGTTGTCAAAATGTATAAATATTATTACATTTACACTGTCCGAGTAACAGAGGAGAAATCATTCTGCGATTTTGCTGATAGTATCAACGGCTATTACAGCATGGCAACACTCGGGTTTTCCCTTTATTACCTGCTTTGCAAAGGATTACGGAACTGTTTGAAAGCTTGATAAGTTATTCAAATTCTCAAGAAGGATGTCCTACTCTTATGCTTAAATGTTCCAGCGTACGAACTTCACTTGAAATTTGTCCTTTGCCAGCTCACCTACTTCAATAAAATTATTTTAATTTCGAAAAAAGATAATACTAATGCCGTAGATCAGGGGTCGGCAACTTACGGTTCCAGGGCTGGATCCGACCCGCAGAATATTATAATCCGGCTCGTGACGCTTCACTAAATTATAGTAACAAAACAGCCGTTTTGACGATTATATTTTTTAAACTAAATTATATTATAACCTAACAAGTATATAATTCACAACTACTCGTTTAATGAGCCTATAATTTAATTATAATTAGACAAATGGCAACAAAACGCAGAAAAATGATGCGAAGTGCAAAGGGTTCAATGGCGCTGAAAATATTCAAATGCAATTTTTTGCGATGCAATGAGGAAATAAATCTATATTCTATTCGAAAGATGTATTACTGCTTGATTTTTATTATAAAAAGTATCATTCGTTCGGTTTCAGCTTTCTAAAAATATGTACGGCCCGCCAATGACTCGCAGCCCTTAATTTTGTCCCGCGAGCGACAAAAGGTTGCCAAGCCCTGCCGTAGATGTCAGAGGTGAAGCTAAATTTGAAGGAAAAAGGGTGAAGACTGTTAATTCCGTCGCAATCACTTGTACTTGTACTGGAATCCTTGGAACGCTCTGGCGAAATCGATGTAACTGTATTTAAAAAGAATGTTTGCGGTATATAGAGCTGCATGATGAAGCCTAAAATGCTCCCCAGGCGCCACATATGGACAAATTATGGGTGATTTAAACTGGACTAAAGTGTTTGGTTTGCAAAATTGATAAATGATATGTTCGGTTAGCTGGTCAGGTTTTGAATAGAGATGCACTTTTCGACGAATACTGATAAAGAGATATTTATCTGAGCATGGTCCAAATGCAATTTGGCTTACTTTGCGGTTGAATTTAAGTGGACAGAGATGTTTAACGTTTTTTCTAACAGAAATATTAGCATTTCGAATTTGCAGAAACTCGTTGATTTTGTTTGCCGGAACATCGGCATCTGTTGAACAGATTTTTTCTCCATTGTTAAAACTTTCTGGTCTGGAAGCAGGTTCAGAATGCCAGAAGAAAATTTAAAAGCACTCGTAACCTGCAAATTTAATGGTGATGTCTCTTGTTATCAGTTTTATGACAAAATCAAAACAAGAATTTTTGAGAAGGGTTCCATCTGCGAACAAATACTTTTGGTCTAAATAAATAATACAAACTATTTTTTTGTGTTTTTTTTATTTCAATGATCAGTATAGAGATTTACAGCCGTATATACCCGCAATGGCTTGGTAGACGTTTCAATATTACAAAGACTGGCAATCAACCGAATGTTTGCCAAATCGCACCGTCCCGGTTTTTTGTTTCAGATTTATGGTAAGCCTATAATAAACATGAAAAACAATAGTCGAAAGTCGCAATATTCGAATATTAAATTTGACATCCCTGTTCCAAACCCTGGATTAAATTGACCTAAAACGAACTAATATCACTACACGCGTTTTTTCGGTTTTCGGTCGTTCGTATGTAGAAAATCTTACGTTAGTCAGAGCGTTATATTTTTATTATAAGAATTTTCGTAATGTGGATTTTTCGTATCCAGAGCCTTCTGTAGGTAGAGTTTTCACTGTATAATAACGTCACGATTTGTATTAAAAAGGGGGAGGAAGAGTATGTCTATAAGGACCATAACATACTGGATGTAGAATTGTGACAATAATCAATCAATCATTGATTGAAATTATGACAATATATCGATTGTGCGCCGGTGAAGTCTTTGTATTTGTTGTGGAGAGTTAAGATCCGGCAATCGCAGAAAGA